GAGACAGAGAAGAGGGGAGAAGGAAGGGGCAAATTTAAAATGATAGTCAAAAATTTTAAAAAAAGAACTATTTGGTTACCTGTGGAGGATTTTAGGGAATGAACTCAATCTGAAAATCAGTAAATAAGGGAAATATGGTATTTATTCTGCTCTCCTATATAAACTGTACTGCATAATAAAAGACTTAATAACAAAGTTCCTCTTTATAGAAGTCCAACTAATAAATAAGGAATGATAAAATTCAAATAACACTATTTTGCAATCCCTAATAAAGTAATGGATCTAAGCAATAATCATGAATGGCTGCTAAAACCATTAGGTAAAAGATTGTCAGAGAACTTTACACCAGGCAGTTTAGTGACAATATTCAGCTGACAATACATGAATCCAGGGATCAATCTTATCACTACTGAGAGAGACAATGATGCATTATGTGCCTCGTAATATGATGCAAAAAGATGCACAATAAAGTATTCTTGCAAAAAAATTTAAACCCAACTGTGAACAAACCTCTGGATTTAACTACCAACTCGTAAGAAATAAAGGGGATAGAGGAACATGTTCAATGATAACAGAGAGATACAGTAATCAAAATTCAAAATATAAAAAATTCTGCAGGACAGCCTAGTGTATTCAATAAATAAATTATAAGGGAAGAAGGAAAAAAGGACAGAGAGAGGTAACTATAGATTAAAAGTTACTTAAGGAACATATCAATCAAATGCAATATATGGACCGTGATTAGATCTAGATTCAAGCAAATCAATTGTTAAAAAAAAAAAAGAAAAAAACCCTTTATGAGACAATGGGAAAAACATGAATACTAAATGGATATTCAATTATATCAAAAATTAAATTTTAAGTTAAATTTTAAATTTGAGAGGTAATAATAGTATTTTAGTAAAATAACAAAAATATGCTCCCATCTTTTAGAGATACATACATATGCATACATACAGATATTCATTTATAGATAAAATTGATATGACATATGTGATTTCATTCAAAATAGCCTGGGGGGAAGGTATAGGGAGCACTGGTATAGATGAAATAAAACTGGCCATGTAATAACTGTGGAAACTGGGTAATGGATGCATTGTTACAGCCAGGCATTGCTTAACAATGGGAAAACGTTCTGAGAAAGGCATTAGGTGATTTCATTGCTGTGCAAACATCATAAGGTGTACTTACAAAAATCTAGATGGTATACAGTCTACTACACACCTAGATTATATGGTACAGCCAATTGCTCCTAGGCTAAAACCCATACAGCATGTTACTGTACAGAATACTGTAGGCAACTATAACACAATGGTAAGTCATTGTGTATTTAAACCTATATAAACACAGAAAAGGCATAGTAAAAATACAGTATAATCTTATGGGACCACCATCATATATGCAGTCTATCAATGACCAAAACATCATTTTGTGGCACATGACTGTATTCTAGTTTTACATATATTTATAAGTGCTCATTAAAAGTTTGGAAAAACAGGCAGGTACAGTGGCTCACAGCTGTAATCCCAGCACTTTAGGAGGCCAACGTGGGCAGATCACTAGAGATCAGGAGTTCAAGACCAGCCTGGCCAACAGAGTAAAAGCCCATCTTCACAAAAACTACAAAAATTAGTCAGGCGTGGTGGTGCGCACCTATAATCCCAGCTACTGAGGAGCTCGGCAGGAGAATCGCTTGAAGCCAGGAAGTGGAGGCTGCAGTGAGCCCACATCGCACCACTGCACTCCAGCCCAGACGACGAGTGAGACTCAGTCTCAAAAAAAAAGTTTGGAGAAAGAATTGTACCTGGTAGGCTATTAACTCCTGAGGCAATATTTAACTTACTGATTGAGCCCCACCAACCCAGAAGGCACCACTGCAGGTGCTAGAGACATAGTACAATAGGAGAGGCAAGACTTTTAAAATCCCTGCAATATAGCAACTGACATAATTGGTAATACAGAGGAAGAAGTAACCAGAAATATGTAAGTCTAGAGATTAGCTAACAACAGTTTAACAAATACAAACATAAACAGCAAGCAAATTATGTATTTAATGGGTTTCTCTTGGTGGGGTTTTTGTTTCTGGGTTTTTTTATTTTTTTATTTTTTGGTAATCATCTCCCATTCTTTCCTCTTCTAATTCATGGCTTTCCAATATTACCAAAGGGGCAAGTCAAAGTAAAAATACTATCTACTTGCTTCCACCTTTGCATACAAACACTGATTTTGTGTTCCTTGGCAATATTTTGTCTCCTTTTAAGAAGGCTTAAAATCTACATTGTTACAAATACATCTGGCCGCTCCCCTCTTTTTTATTTAACTTTCTACTATGCTATAATAACAAGAAGCATTTGGTTTAAGTAAAATAAATCTGAACAAAGCAAGAAAAAAATTAAAAGCAATAGCTCAAGAACTATTCAAGTACTCAGGAATATTCAGGTAAAAATGGCCCTCTATAAAAACATAAGTAATGATAAGCTACTAAATTAAAAACTGATATACTGTCCTAGCCCAATAAATATTGTTCATTTCCTACAATTAGAAACTAAGTGACAAGGATTTATAGACTTCTTTTAAAACTTAGTTTAAAATCCTGTATTTAATATAAATATCAATACCTATATACATATGTGTATAAGCAATGACTTAAACTTTTCAAGTATAAGCATATGTGTAGTTGTCCTTTATTATTTTTTGTAAATTTATATTTTTAAAGGATCTTTTAAACTGTTAAAACACTAAAACTCTCTTGACTAATATTTTCTAATACCTGAGCACTGAATAGGTAACACAAGAAAAAGTCATATTAAAAATGTGTATTGTATAGAAATATTTACAAATATTACTTGTAAAATGAGCCATTCCACTTCATGAAAAAGGAAGAGGCCAGTCACCAGTTTCTAGGTCACAACAGAGAGGAGCAAGTAACATTTCAGGAAAAACAGAAATATAATTTTGATCACATCACCTTGTTCCCCACGGAGGACTTTCAAGTTTAAAACAGCATAAGGGGGAAAATAAGAAACACACAGAGCAGTTGTAAACCACTTATAAAGCTCATATTGGGAGGCAGGATTAAACATACAGTGTCTTGTTAGAGGATAACTATGTTAGGTGTCATTTTATCCAATGTATTATTTTCTGATTTGGGGAACATTTAGTACAGGTTGAGTAGTCCTAATGCAAAAATTCAAAATCCAAAATGCTCCAAAATCTGAAACTTTTTGAGCACCAACATAATGCTCAAAGGAAATGCTCACTGGAACATTTTGGATTTTGGATTAGGAATGCTGAACCAGCAAGTATAATCCAACAATCCCAAACCCCAAACACTTCTGGTACCATGCATTTTGGATAAGGGATACTCAACCCGTAGCCATTTAAAAAAAAAAAACAAAACTGCTGCTGCTGCTGAAATACTCAATACCAGTTGCTTATGAACAAAAAAAAGAAATTACTGAGACCCAAACATGAAGAGGCACATAGCCTTAGGTAAGATAAGGGACCAGAATTCTGTTCCCCTGATTTCTAGCCCTGTATTCTTTTCATTACACAGCGCTTTCTTTTCTCTTTCACTGATGTCTTAATCAGACCATTCCTTTTTTTTTTTTTTTTAACCTTTGTACAAGATTTTATTAAAGGTCTTTACAGAGCAACAACCAGACTCTAGAATACAGCTGCCAAGGAGACCCTGTTACACTGTGGGGACTGGCTGGGGCAATGCAGGTGGCTTTGGTTTCCCACCCTTCTGAGATGGGGGTGGTGGGCAGCATTTCATCTTTGGGTTCCATGATGCTCACGTGGTCAGGCAGGGGCTTCTTAAGGCAAATCTTACCAGTCTGGAATCAGACTATTCTTAAAACAACTTGCATTTACTGAAGACACTGGGCATACAGTCAGATGTGCATATCCCAATCAGCTTGTCCAATGACCCCATTAGAACCTGGTGTAGAGCTGCTACCCTGCTTGCCCAAGGTCACACGTTTCCAGGCTATGTAAGGTCTAAAAGAACCCACAGCTTTTCACTCCCAGTCCCACATGCTTTGCCTTTCTAGAAAAACAAAGTTGTGTCTAAAACCCAAATCCTCAGGTCAATGTGTTCTCTTCACAGACACCAAGGCCTAATCTTTCCCTCAAGATTTTATCCAGAGGAATTCCACGCTAGTCTTTATTTTCTGGACCCATAGTACCCTGTGTAGTTCCATCGATCTAAGACCACAACCTGTGAAATTAGCATGTTTCAAGTTCATTTCTTTCATAAAGTCTTTCTCAACTGTTAAGTACCTTAAGAAGCACCGTTTGTCTGAACTTTACAACCAGATCATCAATACCAATGAGTGTTAATTCAAAGATAAGCATATTAAACACTCATTAAATCTATTATGTTGTTTTTAGAAACTTTTTTACGTACCTTTTTAATCCTTAAAACTTCCTTTATATTCTAACATAATCTAGATTCTCACCAAATCATAAAGACTTTGAGAGTAAATTCTGTCATACAAATACTTTACATATAGACATAATAACACACCATACAAAATATATTCTCTAAAATAATAAGAAATGTTCTTTGGTTTTTCTATTTTTCCTAATATACTCTCTTTCAACTGTATCCCCAATCCTTAAAATAACATTAGAAAATCCATTGTAAATGAACTTAAAGCAAACTCAAAGGGCCACACCACCAAAGCAGCAAATCTCTAATAGCATTTGCTCCAAGAACTGTTATAGAATAGAAAAACAAAGGACCTGTAAAAGAAGTAGCATGTTATAAATGTGGTATATTTCAGAACACAAATTATGTTAATATACTTTCCTAAGCTTAAAAAACACCATAGGTTACTAAAAACAATAAAATCATAGCCAAACAATAATTTCAAATACCAAAATAGTTATCTCTTTATTGAATGCCAGTTATTCATTTCTCTCAACAATTGTCCTGCAGGAGTCATAAACAAATGGGAACAACATCTACCTAAAAAATGTTCCAAGAAACTTACCATCATTTTGGCCCTTGCCCTTCATCTCCTCCTTCCATGATAGAATGCTGTTCAGGGGAACATAGTCTCTTAGGTATTCTTTGCGTCTCTCTTCTAAGGTCATCTTCAGTAAACGTTCTTGCAAAATAAAAGCAGAATCTCCATTTGTATTTAATGTTTAAACAAGGGAATTATGTTTATACTTTAAGTATTAACCAAGTTAAGCTAACAAAAGAGTTGATATAGTCCTGAAGAATAACACAATGCAAATCCAGTGACTCCATATTTAAATGTTAAAAATGTTAAATTTCATATTACCAGGGGAGAAAAAAATCAAAGCCTGATGAAGACTCTCTTGTGATAGTCCAAGAAATAAGTAAACTCATTTACACTTTCAATCAACATCTATAGTTTACTATGGGCCAGGTGATATGCTGAATAAGCGATATGGTTTGGATATATATCCCCTGAAATCTTACGTTGAAATGTAATCCCCAATGTGGGACGTGGTGCCTAGTGGGAGGTGACTGGGTCATGGGAGCAGATCCCTCATGGCCTGGTGCTAGCCTCAACTAGTGAGTTTTCGTGAGATCTGGTTGTTTAAAAGTGTGTGGTACCTCCCAGCAACCCTCTCTTGCTACTGTTCTTGCCATGTGAAGTGCCTGCTCCCACTTCATTTTGCCCCTGTAAAAGTAAAAGCTCCCTGAGGCCTCCCCAGAAGACCTAACAGATGCCAATGCTATCCTTGTACTGCCTGCAGAACCATGAGCCTATTAAATGTCTTTTTTTAATAAATTACTCAGTCTTAGGCATTTCTTTACAAGCAACTGCAAAAACAGTCTAACACAGTAAGATACAAAATAGTACCTATATAAATAAAATACTAAGACAGGTATGTACAAATAGTAAGAGCACAAAAAAGGCAACCACCATGATATTTCCTCAATTGCACTCTCTATTTACTTACAGCTTTGTGTAGATGACATAAGAATTGCTTTAAATATATATCTCTATCTTGATGATAAAATGAAAATATTTTACAAATTGCATCTTACAGTTAATTACAGGGGATATCGTTTATAAAGAACTCACTATGGCCAAGTACTTCACATATAAATCTCATTAAAATAAGCTTCCTAATAACTCATAAAATTGATAGTATTATTATACCAATTTTGCAGATAAGGAAATGAAGCACAGCAAAGTAATTTGCCCAAAGCAAGAGAGATTTCAGGAAGTAAGCCAAAATTAAAATTCAGACAGACATCTCCATTAGTCAAAGACTACACCCTATGTTATTTATTCCACTGTACTACACTACATTCTCAGGAAAACTCCCCAAAAAAGGTAATATGTATGCTGGTTCATGAAGGACAGGAAAAATTTTGCATGAAGAGGTAAAAAGAACATTTCAGACTAACAAAACAATGAAAACAAAGGAGGTATGAATACTATAACCAAATGAAGCTGCAAGATCTGGTATGAGAAGAGGAATGGCCACAGAAGTGAAAAGTAGCCAGAAACAAAAATAAAACTGTACAGGGACTTGTATGCCATAGTGAGCAGTTTTAACCTTTATCCTATAGACTACTAACATTGAAAGTTGATTATGCATTTCCCAGACAGTAAATAAAACAACTCACTAGGACACAGGAAAACATGTAAAAAAATTCTATTTACATTCGTTTTTAACCTAAACAAGGAAGAAATATTTACCAATATTCAATGTAAACTGACACTGGCTTCCTCACTCTGTATGTCAGCTTTCATGTCTCCCATACCATAACAATGGTCTCCACAATGTAGAGAGAGAGACAGTTATTTCTCATACTCTCCAATTCTCTTTCAGTGTATCACAAGGTACTGCAGTTTAGGCAAATGGATTCAAGGATAGTTAGTATCTAGTTTAAACGTAATCTAACCTTCACAAAATAACCACTTTAAAAGATTATTGCACAGAAATAAACTGCAGAAGTATTAACGTAAGCACAAGTGAACAGAAAATGGGGAACCAATATTTTTCCCACTCCTATAACTAGAACTTCAGCCACATTAGGAGACAAAAATATATATATATATATATTAATCAGAGGTCAAGTATTCACATAAATTGAGTTTAAGGTACCTATAGGACACTGAAGAAGTTGAAATCAAGAATCTGGAAATTTAAAGAGTGGTCTAGCCTAGAGATTTTAGAAATTATAACCTAAAATTCTAGTCCTAAAGGAAAAAGAAGAGGGAATGGAAAGAAGCATCAAACCTCAAAACACAGTATTTAGGAAGTGGGCACAAATAGGAAAACAATGAAATAAATCTTAGTTGTCACCAGTGGTACAATCCTGGTAATGCGGAAACATTCAGAAACCAGAGTTGGTTTTTTTTTGTTTTTTGTTTTGTTTTTTTTTTTTTTGAGACGGAGTCCAGCTCTGTCACCAGGTGGAGTGCAGTGGCGCGATACTGGCTCACTGCAACCTCTGCCTCCCGGGTTCAAGCGATTCTCCCACCTCAGTCTCCCAAGTAACTGGGACTACGGGCATGCTAAGGGAAATACCATCAACTGATACAGGAAGGTCAGAAAAACTGAAAATTACTTAGCCACTAAACTGCTTTTATCAATGTGGTTACCAACAGCATGGAATAGAGGAAAAGTGGTTAACAGAGCTGTCTGAGTTATAATCTAAATCGTGCAAATCTGTAGGTTACTTAACCTCTTCATGTTTCAGTTTCCTTTTGAGGTCAGTAGGTAGGTATTATTCCCAACTTACAGATAAAGGAAGTATAAACAACGTGAAATATTACCTAAGATCCCAGAGCTAGTTAAGCAGTATAAGTAGGATTCAAACCCAGGCAACTAGGTATTCAAAGCTCTTAATCTCACAATATTCCGCCTCATACAGTTTCCTACCTCATAGGGTTTTTGTGAGAATTAAATGAGATAATCCATATAAGCTACTAAGAATAGTACTGCGCATACAAATGGGGCTTAAATATTAACTATTCTTATATGAATACTATCATGATTGTTACTACTGAATGACTTCAGGAACATTACTTTCATTAGAATATAACAGAAATCCAGAAGACAATGAAGGACTGAACAAAAGAAGGAAAGTGAGAACAGCAACTCCAAGTTTGTGTGAAGCCCTATGAAAGAAAAGTGACTCTAAAGTGGAAGAGATCCGAGCACTGTTACAGGCAAGGGACAGGACCCTGAAGACACCAAGAAATTAGACATACCCAAGAAACACTACCTGATGGTGCAAGACCTCAAAGAATACAAGATATGGGATAAAGGGAAAAGCAGAAAGGTTAATCTTACACACAAGGAAAAAAAGTCCTTTCTCTAAGACAGAACAAAGCCAAAAGGACATGTAAAGGAACAGACCAATGAGACTATGGAAGAGGATGTTAGGGCTGTTCATATTACATGGCATTTATTTTCTCTGTGATTTTTTTTTTTTTTTTTTTTTTTGAGACGGAGTCTTGCTCTGTCCCTCAGGCTGTAGTGCAGTGGCACGGTCTCGGCTCACTGCAACCTTCCCCTCGCAGGTTCAAGCAATTCCCCTGTCTCAGACTCCTGAGTAGCTGGGATTACAGGCGTGTGCCACCATGCCCATCTAATTTTTTGTGTTTTTAGTAAAGATGGGGTTTCACCGTGTTCGCCAGGATGGTCTCAATCTCCTGACCTCGTGATCTGCCCGCATTGGCCTCCCAAAGTGCTGGGATCACAGGCGTGAGCCACTGCGCCCAGCCCTTCTCTGTGAATTAAAAAGGCAATGTCATCTCTTTAGTATGGGGGATAGGGTCTTGAGAGAACAGGAAATGTGAAGGGAATGGTAAATTTAGAATGACCACACAAAGGCAGAAAAGGGAGATGATCAGCAGTATGCCAAAGAAGTGCTAAAAAGTCTCAGATCACAAATAAAAAATTATTACAATATTACTGGGCAGGTTAAAAGACATTATGAAGCAACTTACAGTTTTCGTGAATGTCAAAAGGTACATACAGAAATGCAACCTGGCCTCTATTGCTCCAGTTATTTAAAAGTTGAAGTGTGAACACTTAAAAACGAGATCAATTTAAAACAAAACAATGAAATAAGTTGCAATACTCGAAAATGCACATTAGTGGTTCTGAATTAGGACTCAAAATACTAGATCAAAAATGTTTATTTAAACATATGTGGTCTTCAGAACTCCTTAATTACTTGTTTAAACAACGAAACATACTGAAGGCCACAAATATATATGCATTTTCTTTGTCACTTCATAAAACTTTTCTTTAAAGAATGCTTCACCTTTACAATGAGTCCTTTCTCTGTGAACCAAGCATTTAAGTAGGCGACCTATTTATTAAACAGTATACTGAATTAAAAATATGTTTATAGAATGCCTTGACATTTCAATGAGTTAGGTAAGCCTTCCTTTAGCTTTAAAGGACAGCTGCAAAAATACTATACCATCAGCTTCCCAGTGGGCTGAAATGAAAAAGGTCATGCATCCCATCAGCTTCTCTAATACTAACTATGGTACTAGAAATCCTCAGCTCTTCCTTGGGGGTATAACATATATTTTATATTTAAATAATCCAAACATAGACATCCTGAAAAAAACACTGAGAGATGCATTAAAGTCTTCGTATCACAGTAACGTTTTCCTTTAACATTAAACTTCATGGAAAAATAACTTAGTTTTGGATAATTACTTTGTTGATTGCCTTATTTAATGGTGCACTTGCTTCCTTAGGAAAAAAAACTGGTTACATCTTCTCCATTATTAGAAGAGAAGAAATCAAGACAGTAAAAAAGATTCTAAAATGTCTGCTGGTCACAGTCCAACGGTGTAGATATTAAATGAAGGAAACATTATAACGTTATTACTTGAGGAACATTGTTTTTCTATTATGACAGAAAAATAGTTCTTAAGTACTCACTATAATTTCATCAATGATTCATGTTACTGAAAACAATGTCTGTGTCTTCCACTGTTTTGCCCTCATTATCATCAATAATACAAAGCTAACATTTCAGCATCATCAATAAATATGGGCATAAATGAGTTTTCAGTGCTCACAAGGTAAATCCTTGTTGAAAGCCTGTTGAAACTACAGTAACTACTACTGAAAAAACAAAGCAAAATTATTTTACACTACTTTATCAAGCTGTTATTCTCGACAGCATTTGATTTATAACACCACAAGTGTTAGCTCTCTATATACCCATAATTATTAAAACATAATTAAATGATTAAACTTTCAACACTTTTAAAGATCATTTTAATTGTGTTGTTCAGTTATATTATGTTAAATCTTCCTGCAACAAATTTGAAAACAAATTCCCTCCTCATGCCTTTGCTCGTGCACTGTGGAAGCAGATCCTATATAGAGGATTCTTTTTCCATACTAATTCCCTTTCTTACCTCCACTGTTTGGCCTTCATGTTCATAAAGGCCAGGACTTGCAATAAAAATCTACAGGTTTCAACGAACTACTAACAAAGAAATCAACTTTCTACCCAGTCACCCCTATACCGTTTTGTAAACATGAGGTATCCAGGAGAAATGTGCACTACCCTCAATAGACCTCACCCTTGCTATACAGGTTTTAGTGTATTTTAGCAATTGGAGTGCAAGAAGTTTTTGCTACATTTCTATAAATAGCTAAAGAATGAAAAGTAAAGAGGTGTGAAAAGGAGGGTGAAAAAACGCCAGAGACACTCAACTTAGAATTATCTAACTGTGATGGGGTAAGGGGGAGATCTTGGTGGGAGAGGCTGGATCGTACACTTGTGTTTCTTCAAGAATCAGTGCCACTGTCAATCTAGCTGATTTGGATAAACCTTACATGCACAAAATTCGGAGATGGGTTCATTCTGAGTGACATTAGTCACAAAATCTTACTCTGAGCAACTCAGCCCATGAATGGTGATGGAATACAGAGAAACACTGTTAGGAGAAAAGCCCATTCAGACTTCTCTTAAGGCACTTATCCTCACGGACAACACGCTCGTTTTAGGGCTCCCCTAGAGTTCCAGGTTTCAAAAGTCACGCTGCGGCAGCGAAGGAAGGAAACCTAGACAAGGGGTAAACACCCGATGGTGGGAACACTTGAACATTTGGGGGTTGGGGGACAAGGACGAGAAGGAATGAAATGAGGGTGCAGGAAGCGCGGAGGCACAGCGGCAGCTGCAGCCTGAGCACCCGCCGGCGGGCACGTGTCCGCGGGACACCCGGGCCGGCAGTGCCCAAGTCCCAGCTGCGGTGCAGAGGAACTTGTGCCGCGCCCAGGGCTACCGCCTGGGGGTCCCCGTCGCGAGCGAGGCGAAGGCAGCACCGCCTCGGGAGAGGGTGACCGGGTGCCCAGGGCGACAGAGAGGGGCGTGCGCCCACACGTGCGCGAGCTGCAGGTGCCCAGGGGCGGCGCGTGCACGCCGAAGTGCGCGCGCGTGTGCGCGTGTGTACACACGGACACGGGAGGGAGGCGGCACCGGCCGGGAGGGCGCGAGGCGGGAGCTCGGGCGGAGGGCGCCGCGGCACACAGAGCCTGACCCCCGCCCCCACCCCAACCCCCACCGCCCGCACCCCCAGGACTCGACGGGCCGGTTACCTTTCTCCTCTCTCCACACCTTTTTCTTCTTGTTGCTGGGGTACATGTTGCCGTGGGGGTGGCTGGCTTTAAGCTGCAAGTTCCCCAGGCTCACGGGCAAACAGGGTGTGTGTGGAGTGGGAGGGGTGATAGGGGGCACTCAGCAGGGAAAAAGTGAAAGAGGCTCCGCGTCCTGCGCTGCTCGCCGCTCGCTGCTCTCCAGTCGCCGCCCTCCTCCCTCAGCCCGCGCTCAGCTCCGGCTCCCACCCGCCTCAGCCCCGCGGACGCCGCCACAGCAGCACCTCAGAGCCTGTCAACTAGGTCACGCCTCGCGCTAACCTAACACCCGCGCAGGCACCGCCTACCAGCCGCTAGGCAGCGCCGCCTCCCATTGGCTGCACTGCCCGCCGCTCTCCGCGTTCTAGCCACGGCGCGCCCCAACTTGGGCCCCAAGGCGCACGCGCAGGCGCAGGCTCGGGCTCGACGCCGAGGACGTTAGGGAGCTGGAGGAGGCGGAGCCAGGGAGCGAGGGGGCGGAGCCAGGGAGAGAGGGGGCTGGAGCTGGCCTCGAAACGGGGGCGGGGCTTGGAGCCGATGCCTAGGAGGAGCGGGAGTTGGACCGCGCTTACCGCTGGCCTCTTGGAAGACTTGAGGGCGTGGCCTGTAGGGCCAGGTGCGCCAAGTGACGGGCGAGCTAGCGGGCGAAAGCCGCCTCAGGGACTTGGAGGATGTACAAGTGGGAGGAGACCGAGGGTCAACACGAATTGTCCGTACTCACTCCAACTGCCCTGTTGGGGAGAATTTTTACCAATTAATCTGATGCTTTCCTCTGGGTGGGCAACTGAAAAAGACCAAAAGAAATGAAAGTATTGGGAAATGGTTCCACATCGTATGCAGTTGGTTCCTCAAACTTGTAATGGAAATTACAAATTTCATTGGAATTTGGTGGTTTAGAAAGAACAAATGTAGACTGGGATACTCAAGACAGTTTTAAGAACCAAGAAGTTGCGGACAACCAAAATGTTATATTGGAAACACGTCTTACATCAAAACAAATTCAGATGCCTGTTAACCAGAGCCAAGTGGTCTTATTTGATTCTACCAATTGCTTAACGTTAAGACACATATCCAAAAAGCTGGCTTAATTCTGAATAATACTAACCTGGCGAGTTCTGAAAATCCAGTTTCACATGAGTAGGGTGACCTATAATTTAGAAATTTGGTACCCTCCCCCCAAATTTATTGTGTTTCCATATATCAGATCATCTTCAAAGCTAACTGAGTGGATGTGGTAAATCCACATTTATTTGGCAATTTGGGTACTATGTTATATATATATTTGGCAAATAATTATTTGGAACACATTTTTAAAAAATAATAGAAGAGAAGAGGAAGAAAAGGGGGAGGCCTCGATAAGAATTGTAAAGAATGGAATATTTTTAGTAGTAGGACACTCTCATAAGGATGATTCACAACATGGTAAGGTAATTTTTGTTTTGTCTTTTTTTTTTTTTTTTTTTTGAAACAGAGTTTCACTCTTGTCACCCAGGCTGGAGGGCAATGGCTCTGTCTCAGCTCACTGCAACCTCTTTCTGCCAGGTTCAAGCAGTTCTCCTACCTCAGCCTCCGGAGTAGCTGAGATTACAGGCATGCACCACCACGCCTGGCTAATTTTGTAGTTTTTAGTAAACATGGGGTTTCACCATCTTGGCCAGGCGGGTCTCGAACTCCTGACCTCAAGTGATCCTAAAGTGCTGGGATTACAGGCGTGAGTCACCGTGCCCAGCCTGTTTTTCTTTTAATGCTGTGAAATATGTAAAAAATAGATTTGGGAGAAGTAAAGGCTTCAAGAAGGAAGTGACATTTGAGCTAGTAATAAAAATATATACTTATTTTTTAGCACTAGAAATAGAAAGAGGTCTTTGATTAGAGACATTACCAAGGAAGAATAAGTAAAACCTGATAATGAAATAGATTTTGAAAGAAATGTGAGGAAGAAAAGAAAAGCATTTCATAGGAGGGTAAGGTGGCAAATAACAATGTTAATATTAAGCAATACGGGAGCAGTTGCAGATTTTGTGGGAAAGATATTGACTTCTTATTTAGAAATGCGAAAGGTAAGAAAAGTACATCACACTAGACACCTTCCCTTCAACAGAGAAGCTGTTGGCACTCCAGCCTCCAGCCAATCCTTCCACATGTGCTTAAGAACATTACACTATTGATTATCTCTTCTCTCATGTCAGCTCAAAGAATTGGAACTTTTATTGATGAAAGCACATTAAAAATATGTAGAGGGCATTTGTTCCAGCATTTAGTATTAATCACTCTGACAAAATGCCATTATCATTCAAAACTGTTAAATATTTAACATCCCTAAAGTACCTGAAATGTGCCGTGTACCAAACTGAACTCATGCTCCTTCTCCCAGTTTTCCCCATCTCTTTGAATGGCTCCATTACTAGTTTAGTTGAAAAATCTGGAAACCTAAGCACCATCCCTTGTACCTCTTATAACTTCATTCTCGTATCGAATCAGTTGCTATACCTACGCAATTTTATTGAGCAGTCTGTATAAGTCTGGAATCACTACTTTCCAATAGCATTGCAGTAAACTTAGTCTGAATTTAACTGGACTATTTCAAAGACTTCCTAAGTGGCCTTCATGTCCACTGTTGCACCTCGTCTGTCCAGTCTAGCCTGCATCTAGTGATACCTTGTCAGAAGTGATCACGTCTTCTCACTTCTGTAAGTCATTCAATGACTTTCTGGTGGTCTTTACTATGTGCTGACTTATGTGCACCCAAAATTCATATGTTGAAGCCCTAATCTCCAATTTGACTAAATGTGGAGATTAGGTCTTTAGGAAGTAATTAAGGTTAAATGAGGTCATAAGGGTGAGTGAGGTTAATAGGACTGAGCCCTTATAAGAAAAGGGAGATCTCTTTTGCCCTCTCCTGCCACCCCCTTTCCCTGCTATGTGAGGACACAGTAAGAAGGTAGCCATCTGCAAGCAAGAAGAAGGCCCTCACCAGAACCTGGTCTCAGATTTCTAGCCATCAGAAATATGAGAAAATTAATTTCTGCTGTATAAAGTCACCCAGTCTATATTATTTTGTTGCAGTTGCCTAAGCTGACTAATACAGTCTTTTAACAACAACTAAATGATTAAGAATGGAGTGACTATCACCTACTAATCCAGCCTTATTTTATACTATACTCCACTGCCACCCCCATGCCCCAGTCTCTGATTCCAGCCCACAGAGCATCATTTCATGTTCTGGAACACCATATAGCCATTTTATTTATTTATTTATTTATTTATTTTGAGAAGGAGTTTCACCCTTGTTACCCAGGCTGAAGTGCAATGGCGCGATCTCGGCTCACTGTAACCTCTGCCTCCCAGGTTCAAGCAATTCTCCTGCCTCAGCCTCCTGAGTAGCTGAGATTACAGGCATCTACCACCACGCCTGGCTAATTTTTGTATTTTTAGTAGAGACAGGATTTCACCATGTTGGCCAGGCTGGTCTTGAACTCCTGACCTCAGATGATCCACCCGCCTTTGCCTCCCAAAATGCTGGGATTACAGGCATGAGCCACAGCACCCAGCCCATAAAGCCTTTTAATATGTTCATTGCAACACCTGGGACATGATTTGTTTAGCTGACTCACACTCATTCTTCATATTTCAGCTTAAACATCACTCCCTAGCAAAGCCTTCCCTGACTCTGACCCCACCTGACCTTTGCCCTGTTTCCCCTTATATACCTTCATTGCTCATTGATTTTCCTATAAAGCAGTTTGGGTTTGTTGTTGCTGTTTTGAGATGGAGTCCTACTCTGTCTCTCAGGCTGCATTGCAGTGGCGCAATGTCTGCTCACTACAACCTCCACCCCCCAGGCTCCCAGCCCCGGGATTTAAGCACTTCTCATGGCTCAGCCTCCTGAGTACCTGAGACTACAGGCATGCACCACCAAGCCCAGCTAATTTTTGTATTTTTAGTTGACACGGGGTTTTGCCATGTTGGCCAACCTGGTCTCCAACTCCTGGCCTCAAGTAATCCACCTGCCTTAGGGTCCAAAGTGATGGGATTAGAAGTGTGAGCTACCACGCCCAGCCAACATTAAGGATCTTGAGAGATTATCCTGGATCATGTTCGTGGGCCCTAAATGTAATCACAAGTATCTTTATAAGAGGGGCGCAAAGGGAGATTAAACTACAGAAGGCAAGTGATGACTGAGCAGAGACTGAAATGATGTGGCCACAAATCAAGGAATGCTGGCAGCCAATTAGAAGCTGAAAAATTCCAGGCCAAGAATGGATTCTTCCCTGGGACCTCTAGAAGGAGCTAGCCTTGTCTTTGATTTTAGCCCTGTAAGAATCGTTTTGGAATTCTGGTCCCTAGAACTATGAGAGAATAAAGTATTGTTGTTTAAACCCATTAAGTTTGTGGTAATTTGTTATCACAGCAATGGGAAACTAATAAAAGGAGTAAAACTGTAAATTCAAAACAATAAAATGTCTATTTCTGAAGTAATGACCTGGACAGACTGTAAAAGTTGGATATTTTTTGTAGGCATAATTTCTCAACTAGCTCTATGCCTTGGATATTTTTAATATTTATATGTTTTCCCTAAATATTCATTTTGATTTCTCATAGCTTTGAAGGTACCACTTGTGAAATGTCTGTATTATTTGAGGTATGTAAAGACATTGTTAAACAGTCTTTGTTTGCCTTTGTTTCAGTAAATCCTCAGCAGTTTCTAACTGGAAAAGAGGATAAAGATTTTCATCCAGATTGGGAACAAAGCAGACTTGGCCCATTGTTTCTTTTCCACTACAGCCTAGAGATACCAGCTTACAGGATGATGTCAGATCAGTTCATGTACCTTAATTGTGTTTTTACATAAGTGTAGTTTGTACCTCTAGAGGCAACATAAAAATAAGAACTTCCAGCACCCCTGAACACAGTTGAATGTGTGGACATGTACGAGTTGGACTTCTGGTCCCTTCCTTTCATGTTAGAGAGCCACCCCTAATTTCTAGCCTACCCCTTATCTTCAGCCAGAGGAATAGCAGTGGATCCTTTCCACAGCCTGCATTCTCCAGCAGCTGCCTTCATTCCAGCTTGAAAAGAACTCCCTGGCAGTCCATTGGTCCAAGAGTAAGGAAATCGTTGCTTAGCAACTGACTCCTGCCCCCACCACAGCCCTGAGAAGAGGTGCTCTTGGGCCAACCACCTAGTTTCTGCCTGTGTTACAGTGAAAAGGAGTTGCTTAAGAGAAGATGAAGCCCTTGTCTCTGTTAATAGAGATACTGATAATTCTTGGGGTCACAATTAAAAGTAAGTTTTTTTTTGTCCTTACAGTTCTCTATGAGGGTCTTTTCTCTTTGCTCAAACAGTGCCAAGGGCAGAAGCCAATCAAAAGATTAGAACTTTACTATATCCCTAAGTAACGCCATTTTTGTACAGGTATTTAAAAATGTGCAATAAGAAGAATAGATGATAATGATAGTCTCACTTGGGATAATACTTGGGAAGGGTGTGGGTGATGGGGAGAAAACAAATCTATGAGAAAACCACTACAGTAATTGTTATAAAGTAGGGATAATCAGGGCAAGTTGTTAAGTGCTATTAAATTTAGAATATCATAAAGGTCTAGTTCCAAGACTTTAAAGGAAAAATATAGGACTCAAAGAGTGTGAAAGATCCATAAACATGTTCTTTTAAAATATTTACACAATAACAATTTCACTTTCAAAGTTTCAATGTTTCCTATATAGTTACTATCTGAAAATGGAAGTTATTTTCCAATCTTGTTTCTTTGGCCATTTTTTGAGTTACTTTTCACCCAATCCTCATATAATGTGCTCATGATAAATTCAACTTGATAAATATTTATTTGGTCCCTGATTGTCTAGTGGTTAGAATTCGGCACTCTCACTGCCACAGCCCAGGTTCAATTCCCTGCCAGAGAAAAGAAAAAAAAAAAGGAAATATTTGGATTTTACCCAGAAATGTAAGATTGGTTTACCATCCATAAAGTAATCAATGTAACAATCACATCAATAGAATAAAAGACAAAGATCACATGATCATTCTAATCTAGTAAAAGCATTTGACAAAATTCAACATGCTTTGTGATAAAAATGTGTGACAAACTAAGAATAGAAGGAAACTTTATCAACCTGATATGATATATCAAAAAACCCAAAGCTACTATATTTAACGGTGAAAGACTGAATGCTTTACCCCTAACATCAGGAATAAGACAAGGATGTCCACTTTTGCCATTTCTATTCAACATTGTACTGGAAGTTCTAGCCATGGCAATTACACAAGAAACAGAAGTAGAAGACATCAAGCTTGGAAAGAAAGAAGTGAAATGATCTGTATTCACCGACGACATGATCTTGTATACAGAAAATCCTATGGAATCAAGTACAAAACTATTACAACGAATAAATGAGCTCCACAGCACTGCAGAATACAAAAAATGGTTCCATTTCTATACAGTAGCAATGAGCAAACCAAAAATGAAATTAAGAAAGAAACTTTATAATAGTATCAAAAATGAACTACTTAAGAATAAAGTTTACAAAAAAAAGTGCAAAATTCATCTTCTTATAACCACAAAAATTGTTTAAAGAAGTTAAAGACGACCTCACTAAATGAAAAGACTTCCCATGTTCATGAATTGGAAAACTTAATATTGGTAAGATGGCAATACTCTCCAAATTGATCTACATATTCAACACAGTCTTTATTTATTTTTTTTATTTTTATTTTTTTTTTAGATGGATTTTCGCTCTTGTCGTCCAGGCTGGAATGCAATGACACAATCTCGGCTCACTGCAACCTCCGCTTCCTGGGTTCAAGCGATTCTCCTGCCTCAGCCTCCCAAGTAGCTGAGATTACAGTCGTCTGCCACCACACCTGGCAAATTTTTTGTATTTTTAGTAGAGACGGGGTTTTACCATGTTGGCCAGGCTGGTCTTGAACTCCTGACCTCCGGTTATTCACCAGCCTCAGCCAGCCAAAGTGCTGGGATTACAGGCATGAGCCACTGCACCTGGGCTTCAACACAATTTTTATGAAAATCCCAGCTGATTTCTTTTCAAAAATTGGCAAACTGGTTTTAAAATTCATATGGAAAAAAATGTTCCTGAAAAAGAAGAATGAAGTTGGAAGGACTCACACTTCCCAATTTCAAAACTTACTACAAAGCTACAGTAATCAAGACAGTATGGTCCTGATGTGAAAACAGACATATAGATTACTGGAACAGAATTGAGAGTTTTACAAGTAAACTGTCACACTTATCATCAATTGATTTTTGTCAAAGATGCCATGAAAACTCAGTGTGGGAGGTGCTGGAGGAGATAATCTCTCCAACAAATGGTGCTGGGACAACTGGATAACCACATGAAAAAAATGAATTTGAAAAAATTAAAACAATTTTTAAAAGCTAGGCACAATGGTTCCTATGTGTAATCCCAGCACTTTGGGAGACCAAGGCAGAAGGATCACTTAAGGCCAGGACTTCGAGACCAGCCTGGTCAACATAGCAAGAACCTCATCTCTTTAAAATTAAAGTAAAAGATAAATAAAAAATTTGTAAGAATGAATTTGTACCCCCACCTCATACCTCATATACACAAATTAATTCAAAATAGATCAAAGACCTACACATATAGCTAAGGATTTAAAACTCTTAGAAGAAAACATAGACATAAATCTTCCTAACTTTGGATAAGCAATGATTTCCTAGATATGCCACCAAAAGCACAAGCAGAAAAGGAAAAACCAAACTGATTATCAAAACTCTTCTGCTTTGGAGGATATCATCAAGAAACTCAAACGACAACCCACAGAATGAGAGAAAATTTTTGCAACTCATATATCTGATGAGAATTCAGTATTCAGAGTATACAAAGAACCTTACAATTCATCAACAAAATGACAACCCAATTTAAAAATGGGCAAAGAAATTGGATAGACAGTTTCCCAAAGAAGAACAAATGACCAAGCACATCAAAGATATTCTACATCATTGGTCATTAAGGAAATGAAAGCGAAAAGCCAGTGAGTTATCACATCACACCCACTAGGATGGTTATAATCAAAAAACAGGAAATTATCGGCCAGGCACGGTGGCTCACACCTGTAATCCCAGCACTTTGGGAGGCTGAGGCAGGTGGATTACGAGGTCAAGAGATCAAGATCATCCTGGCCAATCAACATGGTGAGACCCCGTCTCTATTAAAAATACAAAAATTATCTGGGCATCATGGCACACACCTGTAGTCCCAGCTACTCAGGAGGCTGAGGCAGGAGAATCGCTTGAATCCGGGAGGCAGAGGTTACAGTGAGCCGAGATTGCACCACTGCACTCCAGCCCCAGCGACAGAACAAAACTCCATACAAAAAAAAAAAAAAAAAAAAAAAAAGGAAATTATCAAATTTTGGAAGGATATGGAGAAACAGGAGCCTTAACACATTGCTGGTGTGAATATAAAATGGTATAGTCACTGTGGAAAACAGTGTGGCAGTTTCTTAAAAAGTGAAACAGATTTATTAGGTTGGTGCAAAAGTCATTGAAGTTTTGGCATTAAAAGTAATGGAGAGGCCGGGTGCGGTGGCTCACGCCTGTAATCCCAGCACTTTGGGAGGCCGAGGCGGGAGGATCATGAGGTCAGGAGATGGAAACCATCCTGGCTAACACGGTGAAAACCCATCTCTACTACAAATACAAAAAATTAGCCAGGCGTGGTGGCCAGCGCCTGTAGTCCCAGCTATTCGGGCGACTGAGGCAGAAGAATGGCGTGAACCTGGGAGGCGGAGCTTGCAGTGAGCTGAGATAGTACCACTGCACTCCAGCCTGGGCAACAGACCGAGATTCCACCTCAAAAAAAATAATGGAGAAAACCATAATTACTTTTGCACCAACCTATGCAATGTGACCTATTAATTCCACTACTAGGTATATAACCAAGAGAAATAAAAACATAGTGTTCACACAGAAATTTGTACACAAATATTTATAAAAGCATTATTCATTGTAGCTTAAAGGTGGAAACAACCCAAATATTGACCAACAAATGAGTAAATAAACAAATTGTGGTATTTACATTGGAATATACATACAATGGAATATTACTCAGTCATAAAAAAGAATGAAGTACTGATACGTGTTACAATTTGGATGAACCTCAAAAACAGTTGTGCTACATGAAAGAAGCGACACAAAAGGCTGCATATTGTATGATTCTTATTTTATGAAATATCTGAAATAGGCAAATTCAGAGAGATGGAAAGCAGATTACTGGGTTAGGGGATGGCAGAGGGGAGAAAGAGGAGTGACTACTTAATGCATACAGAGTGTACCTCCAGGATGATGAAATTTTGAAACTGTAGAAAGGTGATGGCTGTATAACACTATGAATGCACTAAATGTCACTTAATTGCACACTTTAAAAGGGGTAATTGTATGTTATATGGATTTCACCTCAATTTTTTAAAAATGTTGCAATGCTTGGAAAACTGGCAATTCCTCAAAAGGTTAAACATAAAGTTACTATATGATCTAATAGTTCCATTCCTAGGTATATATCCAAGAGAATTGAAAACATATTTCCATACAAAAACTTACACATAAATGGTAGCATTATTCATAAATAGACAAAAAGTGGAACTAGCCCAAAAGTCCAACAACTGATGAACAGATCAACAAAATGTGGTATATCCATACAAAAGAATATTCAGCAAAAACCACAAACAAAGTATGATATGGATAACCTTGAATACATGCTAAGCAAAAGAAGGTAGACACAAATGGCCCCATATCATGTGACTTCCTAGGTATGAAACGTCCGTAATAAGCAAATACACAGAGACTGAAAGTCCATTACTGATTATCTAGGCCTGGGAGGTATGGGGGAATTGGGGTGATGATGACTTAGGGGTACAGGATTTCTTTTGGGGTAATGAAAATTGTTCTCTGATTGTGGGATGTTTGCACAAATTTGTGAATATCCTAAAGGCCATTGAATTGTAGAGGGAAAAAATAAATCTTTAATGAAGGTTATACACCAGGAGTATTGGGGATGTAAGAATATCTAAGAACAGTCCATATCCTCGAGCAGCTTAGAGTCTCAAAGAGAAAAATCAAAATAACTAATGAATAAATTGTAAAGTGTTATAGGTAATAAAACAGAAGCATTTACAGGGTACTGTAGGGCACAGAATGAAGGAGAGGTCATACTGAAAAGGTCATAGTTGGAAAGGCTTCACAAAGGAAATGGCATAGACCAAATCTTGAAAGATTAGTGAGTGTTCACCAA